ACGCCAGCTCTTCGTCACCATTCTGGTGTATTCAGCTCCAGCAAATGTTGGTGTTCTATGGGATCGGTTTTTCGCGGATCTTTCCCAAGACTTCGCACGCAAACATCAGGCTTTGAGGGACCCCTTTAAGTCGGCGTTGGTCGAATTTGAAACGCTGATGAGCATTCAAGAACTACTTCAAGCGAGTGGGTATGCGGTAGCTGACTTCGACGAGCTTCCTCAGTTGGGGTCGTTCCCAACATTGATTCGTGAAGCGCTTCGCCAAAACGGATTACTACGACGTGAGCTCACTGGATACGATGCGTCAGCTTTGGAGGCAATTGTAAGCACAGAAGATCAGCTAAACGAAAGTCAGCGGGTGGTTTACGACCAGATTATTGAAGCGGTTGAATGCCCGGAGGAAGGCAAGAAACTATTTTTTGTCGATGGCCCGGGTGGTACTGGAAAATCTACACTGCTTCGAAACATACTGGCCAAAGTCAGACTCTCGGGGAAAATCGCCATCGCTGTGGCGTCTAGCGGTATTGCCTCGCTCTTGCTCATGGGTGGTAGGACAGCTCATTCTACATTCAAGATCCCTTTGAAATTGAACGAGAGCTCGACGTGCGGTATCAGGAAGAACTCCCATATTCAGGAGTTGATCAAGCATGCAAGTTTAATTATTTGGGACGAAGCACCTATGTCCCATCGCCACGCATTCGAGGCAGTAGACAGAACACTGCGGGACATACTTGACAACGATACCGAGCCTTTTGGGGGGAAAGTGTTTGTACTTTCGGGAGATTTCCGCCAGATTCTCCCGGTCGTTAAGAATGGAACACCCGTCGAGACAATTGACGCTCGCCTCAAGTCGTCTAGGCTGTGGCCCCAATTCCAGACGTTCCGTCTTACGGAAAACATGCGAGTGCGCACAGCTGATACTGCAGACACTGCTGAGGAAATGGCTGCGTTCTCCGAGTTCCTGCTGCTCGTTGGGGAGGGAAGGCATGATGTAAACCCTTCCCTAGGAAAGGATTACATGAAGATCCCGCGCGATATGCTGATTGAGAATCCACCTGTGCCTGAGGATGAGGACCAGGAAATTCGTCCTGGCGTTATTCCAAGAGGCATTGATCGGATCATCGACGAGATGTATGGCGAGATTAACAACCCCGAGGTTGCTACCAATGAGTATTTCGCTAACCGTACGATCCTCACGACCACGAACGCAATCGTGCACCGCATCAATGAAGCGGTGACCGATCGATTAACTGGACAGGCGCGGATATACATGTCTTCCGACTCTGTACAAGACGACGGTGACGGCAATTTCTTCGAGCAGGAGGTACTCCACTCGATGAATATCAGTGGAATGCCTCCCCACAAATTGACCCTCAAGGTAGGAATGCCTATCATGATGATGCGGAACCTGAATCCAGATCTAGGGCTGTGCAACGGAACACGGCTTCGAATTGTGGCCCTAAAGCCACATGTCATCCACGCCACAATCATGACCGGTGAGCGACAAGGGCAACATGTGTTGATTCCCCGCATTGTTTTCATCAGTGACGGAGACATTCGGAGCTTTCCGTTTCATTTGAGACGCAAGCAGTTTCCTGTCCAACCGGCCTTTGCGATGACGATTAACAAGGCGCAAGGACAAACGGTGCAGTACTTGGGGCTGTATCTTGCTACGCCTTGCTTCTCCCACGGGCAGCTGTACGTTGCGATGTCGCGAGTTACTTCAAGATCAAGATTCAAGGCGCTGGTCGAGTACCCAAAGCTGGAGCAGGAGGATGGGGTCTACACCCAGAACATTGTCTACAGGCAGATCTTTGGTTCGGAGTAGGAATGTTCAATTTCATATGCATTTAATAATCACGTTTAACATAAAAACATGTTTAACGCCGGAGCGCAGCGAAGGCGTGCGCCCATCTCTCTTTGGACTAAAACTTGCCACCTCCGCCGCGTAGCACCGCAAAAGGGATAGCCTCCCCCCATCTAGGGGAGCCTGATCTCTGCCCCGCAGCCCCCCCCTGTAAGGGGCCTGTTACCAAGAA